GGGAATCGAGGCTGGAGTTTTCGTCCTTCCCCTCGCGCTGGATCCTCCCCTTTGGCAGCTCCTGTTCCCGGTCCTTGCCCCGCTCCTCCTCCCGCGGGTTCCGCGGCTTCGGCTCCGCAAAAAACACCCTTTGGATCCGCAAAAAAACCACCTTTGGATCCATAAAAACAAACCTCTCCGGGCAGCTGAGCTTCCCATCGCGGCCGCTCCAACATGGGTAAGAGCTCCAACCCCTGGATCCAACCCTAAATCCAGCCCTGGATCCCGCCGGGATCGATCCAGATCGGGGGTTCAGCGTTTTTTCCCCCCTCGCTGTTGCTGCCCCGAACTCCCCTCGAGTTTAATCCCATCTCTAAATGCCTTTTGGGGGCTCTAATTAAGGGTCTCTCCCAGTCCCCCCCCCCAGCCTTTAAAAACTTAAATAAACCCTCGCACTTGCTGCTCGTGGACGTGAAACCCCGAGGAAGTTGGGGAGGGAGGGTCTGGATTGACCTTTTTTTGCTTCTACTCGACGTATTTTTGGTGACGAGATCCCCCCCCTTCCCCCCCGATTTGCAGGATCTTCCGTTCTTGGCTCGCTGGACGGGAAACAAGAGGGAGGGATTAAATTTTTAACTCTGAGTTTAATTTTTTTTCAACCTGTGCTCACGAGTTGCGCCTGAAAAGGTCCTGGAAGTCTGTGAGAAGCCTCAGGGCAATGTGTGGGAGCAGGTGGTGCTTTAAATCCATAAACTTGGTGCTTTAAATCCATAAACTTGCGACTGGAAGCATTTTCTTGTTCACTGGTGCCCTCCTGGAATCCTAAAAAATCGCCACTTCTCCAGCGTTTCCGTGCAGGGAAAAACCCAGAGGCTTTCCAGGAATAATGCCCACGTGGGTCGTTCCCGTTGGGAAATCTGTCTCCTGGCACCGAGTCAGCAGCTCCCTCAAATATTTAACACCCTTTTCCCACGTCCCGGGGCCCTTGGCACAGACAGATGGGCTTTGGAATGGGGAGTCTGAACTCCTGGAAGGCCCCAGCTTCCCATTTTTCATGAGGATGGAGCATCATGATGTGGGACTGGGAGTAACCCCAGCGCTGCCCGGAGTCAGCAATTAAAAACTGGAGTTGAAATTCCCCTCTCCTCTCAGAGATGCGCCTGAAAAGAACTCGGATGTTTAAATAATTGGATTTATTTTTTTTTTTTCTCTCTCTCTCTCTCTCCAATCAGCGAAATGTGGAGCGTGTGGACCAGGATATGCCAGTCCTCTGGATGCCATGAAAGGCAAGTTTTTGGCACAGCTTTCCTAAATCCAGGCCAGCAGCAGTGGAATTATTTTGGAATTGGGGGGGGAGACAAAGGTGGATGCCTCCCAGAGTGACATATGTGAAATATATAAAGTATATGAAATATTTAAAACATATAAAACACATATAAAATCCTTAAGATTCCTTTAAATGTCACCTGTTTGGTTTTGTTTTTATTTTTTTTTGTAAAAATGAATATTTTTTGGTGCCTCACCCAAATCTGTGCCCCCAGGTCCCCGGGAGGAGCTGCTCTACCTGCCCTGCATCTACAGGAACACGGGGATCCAGAAGCCTGACTACCTGGCCACGGTGGATGTGGACCCCAAATCCCCCCACTACTGCCAGGTACCTGCTGGGGAAAATTAATATTTGGCTTCACAGAGTCCCTGGCGGGTTGATATTTGTGTGGGGGGAACAAGAAAACCCAATTTTCTTACTCCAAACTCCCATTCCTCTCTTGGTCTCGAGGCCCTTCCCGGCATTTTCGTGGCTCTTTTTTAATCTCACACCCCCTGATCCCATCCCTGAACTTCCCAGGAGCAAATCTGCTTCCTGACTGACAGAAACCAGCACTTTCCCTCTCTCTTTGTGCATTTACACTTGGACACAACGACCCATTTCCTTGGAGTTTATGACCGTTCTTTGCCTGAGGGAAAAACCCCTAAAGGGGGCTGAGTTTGGAGCCTGCTTTCCAGGTAGTTTGGAGTGTGATTTCCCTGACTCCCAGGTAGTTTGGAGCCTGCTTTCCCTGATTTCCAGGTAGTTTGGAGTGTGATTTCCCTGATTTCCAGGTAGTTTGGAGCCTGATTTCCCTGATTCCCAGGTAGTTTGGAGTGTGATTTCCCTGACTCCCAGGTAGTTTGGAGTCTGATTTCCCTGATTTCCAGGTAGTTTGGAACCTGCTTTCCCTGATTTCCAGGTAGTGTGGAGCCTGCTTTCCCTGATTTCCAGGTAGTTTGGAGCCTGATTTCCCTGATTCCCAGGTAGCTTGGAGCCTGCTTTCCCTGTGTCCAGGTAGTTTGGAGTGTGATTTCCCTGATTTCCAGGTAGTTTGGAGTGTGATTTCCCTGATTTCCAGGTAGTTTGGAGTCTGATTTCCCTGATTTCCAGGTAGTTTGGAACCTGCTTTCCCTGATTTCCAGGTAGTGTGGAGCCTGCTTTCCCTGATTTCCAGGTAGCTTGGATCCTGATTTCCCTGATTCCCAGGTAGCTTGG